TATGTTGCATAGCATTAGCCAACTTCACCACTAGGGCAACAGGCCTTAACCTGAACAGCGTGTTAGATAAAAATTAAAAGTAACTTATTGTTACTTCGCGCTGCTCAGCAGCCCCAAATTTCTGTTAAATTTTAACAATTGTAGTGGATTTGGTGTTTAATAAAATTGAGTATTTCTCATACTCTACCGTTATGCTTAAATTAACCCTAACATCAGGCCTTGCTATGAACGCGTAGTAATACATTTAGCCCAACATCTAACATTTTCAATGTACTATACATATGTGCATAGTTTTTTTATAAAAATGTATGTAAAGATCACAGCGGCTGTGCATTATCATTAATTAAATATTTTTTTGTGAAGAATGAAACATGTGTATAGAAGATATTAATAATTTTTATCTTTTTCTTAATATTTAAACATTAAAATTTGAGCATTTTTGCCTAATGCCTTTTTGTCAAAGACACCTTAGATCGATTACCGTCATTATGAGGTACCATAACTACAACAATTTAATTTTACTGATATTTTTTGTTCGATACTTCAAATATCTGTACGCTTGATGAAATCCTAATTATTTTTCTCTTTTTGGCTTTAGTTTGTTTATTTTTTCAAGTTTTAGAGGATGATTTTTGTTGATATGACGCTCAATATTTGCACCATGGTGATCTTTCATAATAGTATCATTATCTTCAACTTTACATTTAGATATATCATTTTATTTATAACGTAAATAATTTATATGCTGGTTCATCTTTAGGCAAAGCTTTTTAAAAATTTGATTATAAAAAAGAAAGTAAATAAATCATTCAGTATTTGATACATAATTCGGATAGACTAACTTTTCACATATTTATAATCTATCTACTTGGAATAAGAATCGATTTAATAGATTATTTTTCGTAAAAAAATTTGAAAAAATCCAAATGAATCCTCTTCAACGCACTCTGAAAATATTACAACATGATGAGCTAACTGGAAAATTTTTATGGAATATAGTTAAAAGCCAACTAGAAATTTCTGAATTTAATTCACATCTTGTTAAATCTTTAACGGATGCAATGAAATTTAGAGAAAGACAACCTTACAAGATGTCATTTTGTCATATTTAGATTTAAAGGATATTTTAAAAATATATTTTTAATAAATTATTTTACCTTGTATATTTTAATACCCTGAAGAAGATATTTATATAATTCAATAAAAATATTTTTAAACATATTTTTCATTTTTTATTATAAAGATATCAAGTGCTTTTACTGAAGAAGAAAAAATCAAAGCTAAGAAATATATTATTAAGATATGTTTTATCATGGAATTATATTATGTTATAAGAGTGGGAGATTTTAGTGGAGATGAATCAACAACATAAATGGATCCTCATCTGAAGAGGATTTATTGGAAAGTTTTCTAAAAAAAAGGATAATCATAAATTAAATATATTAGAAGATCTTAGAATATTAGAGATATTGTAAACCTCGCTTAAATAAAGAAGTATAACTATTGACCAAATTGGAGTAATCGATTACCCCGAATTATATAAAGTGTCTAATGTTATATTGACAGCAACTCAAGATGGCATAGAGATGTTTTACAACAATAAAATTTATGTTTTATATTTTTTTTAATAATAAAATAAATTAAAATGTGGTTCTCTATATCTAATTTAATTTTACATACAAAAGACTTCATATTGATTTTAGAGGCTCAACCTAATCGATATTTTTTTTACTACTTAAACTCTGAGCAAGTATTTTTATTTGAACCATTATTCGTTTCTGTTCGAATCCCGGGTAATTACTCACATTTTGTAAGCATAAAATCATGAGGTTTAACTCGGTTCAAGAATTTTTACCGATTCGGATCAGGTTTAGATAAAAAATTATTTAACAGTTCAGGTTCTATAAAAAATAACCGTTTAAAGGGGTTCGGTTTAGGTCCCAGGTTTTTAGCCTTTGAAAATTTCTTTATATTATTTTACATTTTATTAGATTGCCATTCCGAAAACGAGATTAAATCAAAAGATCCTATTAGGTGCAGAGAATGTGGTTACAGAATAATGTACAAAAAGCGTACCAAAAGGCGTAAGAAAAAATTATTTGTATAATGAAAAATAAAATTATATATATATTTATAGTGATTGTATATGACGCGAGATAAGCGACCAAAGAATTTTTAACTCTGCAAATTAAATATTATAATATGAAATTATCCATGTAAATAAATTTATTTTGTATATTTATAAAAACATAATAAAGTATTTAAAATTTTCCATATTTTTTTTAATGATTTAAACCAGAAAGGCGTGTATTCTTCATACGATGTTTATGCGAAAATTATATATTCACCTAGTGTTGTTAAACGGCTCGTTTTGAGCCGATTTTTAAAAACGGCTAATTCAATATTTTAGCTAGAAAAATATTGCCTAAGCCTTGAGATTTCGCTAATTGATGTCTAGACCTTTGTGCCAGATATGAGCAAAATCTTCAGACTTGCGTAATATTATTCTAGATAAAATATTGAGTTAGTCTTTTTTAAAAATCGCCTCAAATCGAGCCGTTTAACAACACTATTTCACTTTATATCTACCTTTAAATTTTTACTATAATAATCTTTTCTTTTAGAATTGGGCAAAATATAACATTAACAAAGTTAAGCATATGTATATATATGTTTGTGTCAATGTGTTACTTTTTCAGCTTAATTTTTTGCGCACGTTTTTAAAATGTTAAAAATATAATTTTGCTGGAAATATATTCCAACATGTATAGAAAACCTACCCTGTAACTTTTAGAAAATTGATTTTAAAAACCGCATTCAAAAAATAATTAAAATTTGATAAAATAATTCTTCCAGGACTCATCCAATCATATCAAAGTCTTCTTGGTGATTATAGATATTATACTATAGAGTTTTTGCATTCCCTCTCCTTCACGCATATCTCATCACATTACGTTTGATGGTAATGCTAACACGAAATATGAACCCTAAAAAGGTTTATATATAGGAACATGCTTGATTTATCAAAGTATTACATGAATGTTTTAGATGTTGAGATTATCACAGGGCCTAACATAGGCTCTTAAGTTTTGATGCCTATTTTTTTTCTTTTTTTCGTACAATTACTTATTTAAATGAATATATCGAATATGTTATAGTATAATAAAGGACATATACTATTTTTTTTTAAATATAAAATTAATAGAGGTGTCAAAAAACTATGTTAAGGAGAAAATAAATAAACACAAGAAAAAAAAGATATAAAGAAATATATAAAGATAAATAAGTAATGAGAGTTATTGGAGATTATTCGATGGAAGGGATAAAACTTACGTAGTTAGAGCGAATAATCGCTGTAGCAAGCCTTTTCCTTAAAAAGAAAGACTCTTTGGGTTGATCGGTCTTCTCGGATCCTTCTCCCTAATCTAAAAAAATTTTAAGCTTTAATACCGAAAGATATTAAACAGGGAATGGGTATGAATGTTTAGAAGGATTGATGGAACTACATTCCGCTTTCCTAGAGAGAGTGCGAGGGCATCGGAATTTTTGTTGGATGGGGCTTTTGGGTCAATGCAGGTGAAGTACCAAACTAAGAGCTGGCCTTTATCATGGAGCTGAGGACACTCCGGTTGGACGTTTCTCATCGCTAAATATGACGGTTGGTTCGAATCCAAAGATGCCCACCGATTTAATTGCTCGCACGTGACAACACTGGTTTTACTATTTTTTCATTGGTATGGTAGAATAATTTCTCAATTAAACTGTAATCCAATAACTAATCTTTCCTTGTCTGAGGAGAGGAGCAAATTAACTTCATTAGTTTCACCATAAGTTTTTTAAATTCTATTTTATCAAAGCAACTGTTTTTTTTAAATTCTTTTATCATAGCAACATTTTGTTACGTACTATAATTTTATCTTATACACCATTTTTTTCATATCGAATATAATTAAAAGAAATACATTACGTTTTTGTAATAATCTTTTTATTTATTTTAACAAACATCAAAATTTTGATCGATTTAACATCGCTTAGTACCCAACATGGGGGAATTTATTTTCCCTGGAAATCGCCATAAGACGGAGAAGAAGAAGAAATATTTAAATAAAGTAACCTGACCAAAAAAATTAAATAATAATTATTTTCAAAAAGACTTATTGAAGCATTATCATATGAATCTTTACTAAGATCCTCATCGAATTTTTTTTATATTTATCAGAATTTAATCTGGTTTGTGTATTGTTTTTTAAAGGAATTAAGTCTTATTTATGTTTGTAATTGACAAGATCTATTCTCAAGCTGGAAATAAGTGATTTTTCCCTTCGCTGTCCCCGAAATTTCTTTCTTATCTAGGTCCAATTCAGTTTAAGTAACAAGTAACTTTTGGGTTTCATAAATGCCATTACTTTCATCCACGTACTTTGCACCACTTCTTAGAATTATATAGTTTATTTTCCATTTTATATTTAATACCAAATAAAAATAAATTATTTATTTTTTAATATTTGAAAATAAATTTAACATTATTTTTTTGACTACCATTGTAATTCTGATTTGTGATTTTTTTATTCGTTGCCAAATATGATTGATTTGCATATCCACAACCATTGTGATTCACTGCCATTTGTTATTCTCGATTATTTAGGATTCACCCCATTTACGATTTACAAAAATTTGTGATTTCGTTAATTTTATGATGGGATAAAAGTAAAAGTAATTGTTGGTAATCCTCATTGATCGAAAAAAGCATGATTACTTCCATTTAGTATTTAAACAAAATTTTTAGTAATTTTTAAAAAGTATTTGTAATAAAAACAAATTTTTTCTGAGAAATTGTAATTGGTAAATTAATTTCTTTTAAAATGTAATCATGCCCAACCCTGTTATACTATACTTATTAATTAATTTTTTTTATTGTTTATATTTACTTATTTTATTTATTTTCGGATGAGCAGAGGAAAGGGTATATGCGTATACTTTTTTATTTTTTTACATGATATTTAAAAAAAATTCGAATTTCACGGCAACATTTTTTAACAAATTTATTAATTGTTCATCATGAATTTATAATAATAGATATTCCATTCATAGGTTATTATTAGTAGCCTTCATTTTATAATGATATTCCCTTTCAGTAAATCATATCCATGCCGGTGTAACTTTTCTTTTGAATTTCCTATCATTCAACCATCTCTTTAATTCAGTATTATAGGGCCTTTGTTTCAAATGTCTATATAATATTTTTAAATATATAAAACTTGTAATATTGATCCAAAAAATCCCTAGTGGTTTGGTCTAATGGTGGATAATTTCTTCCTTTACTCTTTGGCATGCATTTTACTTTTGTGTTGTTTTTTAGGCAATAAAATTTTTTGGTGGTATCAAATCTAAAATATCAATTTATAATAATTTGAAATGATTATAAAATGTATTATAAATATTAGACTTGTAAAAAATATTTTAACGAACGCATACCTTAAATTTTCTTTGTAATTTATTTTTGCATCTAAATGCAGATTATTTTGAAGCGATGTCATTTCGGCCGGAGCGTCTTTCTTCAATTTTTCGCCATCAACTAACACAATCTTTATAAAATTAATATTATATTTACATAAAAAATCAATATTTGATTGATTAGTTATATTTTTTACGTAACTAGGACCTAATGATAATAGGGTTAAGTCATAACCCATTAAATTTCGAGTCATTTAACAGCATAGAGGGCAAAAAAATTATTGGGCTGGATTATTGATGAATCCTAATATTTGATAGAAGTGATAATCAATGAAGTGTAGTATTTTTGATAGCATTCCTCATTTACATAGTTTATTCTACAAAATGTATTTCGGGTTAGATCTTGTACTTAAAGGCCGAGCAATTAAGTAAAAAATTGATAAAGGGCTGGTCGGGCAGGCAGAAACTATCCCAACCTGGCCGATGTAGGATTGTGAAATCAATACCCATTGTATCTTCAACACCATAGTGATATTATCGTTCTAGATTCAATAACATAGTGATATTTTGCTATTGTAGAACAATACCATATTGAAATTTAATAAATGTTCATCGCTTCAAATAGCGTCATTATTTTTCAAATATTTATTATAATTCTTTCATCCCTTCAAATATATTGGCGGCCATTAAATTTGTAAAATATTTATCCATTGTATATTTTTTATAAATTAACAATACGATCGTATTGATTTTAGATGATGGTATTAATTTTACAACACTGGGTCTGAAATTTTTGCCATTTGCAGACTTATATTGGCGAGGTAGATATTCCTCCAAAAAATCGAGAAGTATATTTAATATTCAGTTTTGTAAATTGAATAAGTGTATTTTTTTCAATCGAATAACAATATTAAAGGAAGGACCGGCCCAAAGTCTCGAAAAAAAGAGATTTTTGTATAGGGCAAATTGTGCAAAATATTTTTACAACCCGGACAGAAATTTCGAAAATGTTTTTTTTAGCTAATAATTAGGCAAATTTATGTCATTTCTTTCATAAAAAATTATTATGGGACGGGTAAAAATACAAGCCGAATCACGTCGATTCCGACCTCTAGATTTTATTATTCATAATGCGAATAACAAATAATCATATTTTTTAAATTAATTTTTTGGGGGGATATTTTTAAGCAAGATTAAATTAGATCATAATTTATTAAATGTTTAAAAGAAAATGTAGTTAAAAAGATTCTTTATTGTGCATGTAAAGGTAATTTTTAAAAAAAATAACATTTCAAAATAATTTATCCATAATTGAAAGTATAAATAGGCTCGGCCTGTAAAATTTTAAGTCCGGTCTAGAAAAAAATTGTAATATCTAAAATATTTATCAAGATTAGGACAAGTTTCTGTTTCATTTCTCATCTCCTAACTTGTTAGGCCTGTAAGATCTAAGCCACACCTATGATGTAAAAAGACTGTTTTTATATATAATAATATTTCATAGATATGTTCTGTTTTTTTAAAAAAAATATAAAAACATTGTTGTCAGAGGTGCATTATTACTACTTGATTAAATTAAAAGCATATTTTTGATTACATTAATTTTAGAAATCATAGCTCAATTTTCTTATTTGAATTTAACGAAAATCAAAGTAAAAAGCTATTCATTCTTAAATCGTACATTCCAATCTTCAGCCTGGAGTTGGGATGGTTGGAATAGGGAAGGGCTCGACTGACTATTATATCGCGATAGTTTGATAGCTCTATCATAAATCGCGATGAATCAAATAAAATAACCAGTATCCCTATGTTTTATTGTTTTAAATAATATATATTTTTAAAAAAAATAATTAAAATGACATGTAAGTATTTCATAATTGTACCACTCTAAAAAACTAACATCTTTTACCTTAAACATTACCGCTTAATAAATCTGTTTCCAATTAATTTTTGTAAAAATGATATTAATAAATGAGAATATCACATGTTTCTTAACTTCTATTAAAATCTGGCCCTTTCAATGTCTTCTCACATAGAGAATTAGGAGTGTAGACGACTCCTTTATATATGAAGATAATTCCATCTTTTCGTGTTACCATTAAGAATAAATATCATTTACAATTTGATCTACACTTTTTTGATACTCATTTTTAAATGTAAGCTTTCTATAATTCGGGTTTTTTTAAATCCCACAAGAGCAATCTATTACTTTTAAACCCTGGTTTATCATTTATCGATTACATCTTATCAAAATATTCAATCAATGTCTATATATATTTTGTGTATCAGTATAAAGTTTAAATAATGTATTAGACGAATTACAATTATAAATTTACCTGCTCAGGGGGAAAATATTCCAGCCAACGATATAGATGAATAACGTATTTTCCTGGATTGAGGCACCTATTTTGTAATTTTAGAATTTTTGTACTTAAATTGGAAACGCTTCCAGAACTTTTAACACTGAAATTTACGATCGAATTGAAACTAAAGTCCGTTGCTATTGGGTCGTTATGGGCTTTCATATGCTAATTTATAACATCATATTTGCAATATTAAATTTTGGCTTTCTACTTATAACGCAGAGTTTTTGTAAAGCTTATATAAATCATTATAAGAATCATGTTTATCAGATTGTTAATAATTTGAACATTTTTTTTATTAATTTATATATACTTTTTATAAAAATAATTTGGGTTTTAAAAAATTCTTAGCTTAGACAATTTTTTATTAGCTCAAAATATAAAATTAAAATTTTAAATAAAAATGGTTTTAAATAATTACAACAGGAAATTTACTTGATACCAAGAATATGCGCGTTCTGCAGGATTGGTTAAAATAACAATGATTGTGGTGTTGGGTAATAGGTTAGAAACTCTCTCAGGAGCATATGAATGATCAAAATAAGTTGCAGATTTTTCCATATATTGAATATTCGATTTTGTACAATTAGAAGAACAGTTGGTATCATCCATAAAGAGGTCTAAATACCTAAGAATTTTTTAAAAATAAGTTAACCAATAATATTATTTATTTATATTAAACACCATAAATAATACATGAAATGAAAGCTTTAATCCTCTTCTCTCATCTGTATGTTTATATGCTAAGAATAAATTTTTTTATTTAATGACAAAATACTTGGTTGTTGGCATTTCGAACCGTTATATAGAACCCTTTATATCAATCAAATTGGCATTTGTAATTTAACATTTAATTGGATTAATATTTTCTATTAAATATAACCATACTCCAAAAATATATTCATATTTATTCAAAATTTTATTTAAAAAACATATAACATTAATTACTAAGTTATGTATCATCGATTAGAAAACAATTATATAAAGTAACAAAGATTCCTAAAACTTATCTTTTAAGAATAATTAAAAAAAGCATGATATACCATGATTTTAGTAAGCACAAAAAAGTTCAGGGTAATGAAGAAAAATATTTGCTGGAGTTACATTTATTATAAATTTTTCTAAAATGGATTAAGAATATATAAGGTATTTACATTAATTTATAAGATAAAAATTATTTTAATAATATAAAAATTGTTTTAATAATATAAAATATTCACTTTAATAATTATCATTTAGCAACGATGTTGATTATGAAACAGAAAATTAATTTTATATAATAATATAGGGCATATAATTATGGACAAGCATGTTTATATAATATTGCATTATTCAGATCTGGGTAGCTTTGATACAGGGCTATTCATTGCAGAGTTGGGTACTTATTAAACATATCTAGATCAGGGATATGCAAAACCTGTTTTTGTCCGTTAAGAATTTTTGCATAAGTTACCCAGCTAGTATTTTTTTTTACGAAAATTCAGGCCCGGTTAGTAGAGTTCGCTTTAGTTCGTTAAATTTCATTGTATGAATTTTTCATTCATCGTATTTTTTAATATCTATATCTAATTTTTTCTCATGACAATTGAAGCTCTTATAACTATTAGATCAGAAATATACACTCCATTGTCATATAAAAAAAATAAAATTAACTATATATCTCAGAAAATAACGTGAAGTGGGTAAAAAGCTGCATGAAATATCGAAGAGAGAAAGAAATGTTTGCAAAAATAAAATTGAAAAATAAAATTTTATAAGAAACAATATAATATTAATATTAATCATAAAATGAAGACATGTTAGAATGCAAAATATTTAAAAATGGGTACATTCATCCTGTGTTGCTCATGATTATAAATATACATGTTTACATTAAAATAAATTATTATTAATAATAAATCGAAAACTTATTATATAAGTCTTATTTTATAATAATTTTGTAATAAAAAAGTTTTCCATTATCTTAATGAACATAAACGATACGTTCCGTGAACGGAACTTTGAGTAAATTTATGGAACGAAACCGGAATGTTCATTTTGAAACCTTCCCGAAACCCTTTCGGTACGTTACTAAAATTATATATAAATTTATTATTTATTTCTAAAATTGAAAATAAATTTTTTTAATCTATCTAAGATGAATATATTAAGTTCTTTTTATTTTCCAAATCCTTACAAATGGTAAACCTTGAAATTTCTTTCTTTAATGAAGGTTGAAAAACTGTAGAAAATTCGTGGCCTCATTAGAAACAGTTAGAGGAAGCATACTTAATGTTCCAAAAAGAGAGCAGGCGACTTTATAAGTCAATAAACCAAATGTAAAATAAGGCTTCAAAAATTAAATCCTTGTTATCACAAGAATTGATTTCAACTCTCATTAAAAAGGGAAAAATGCTAATGAATTAATTGCTTGCCTTATATCTAGATTCTAGCCTTCATCTATTTTGAACGAAGAAGAAAATAATATAGCCATAAATCATTTATTGGCGATATGGGAGCATATTAAAATTGTTAAGGATGAAGATTTAATTATAATAAGTAATTCGGATAAATCTTTTGAAGAAGGACAAGAATATCATGAATTAGAAATGTTTCTAAAATCCAAATAAAAGAGAAAAACATATCAAAACTTACAAAAAGAATGATATTCTATCAACTATAAAAAATTTTCGAGCGGATATCAAAACTAATAAAATAAAAAATCCTATCTTGTATGAATTGGTCCAAATCGTATAAGCAACTCCATGTAGCTAAGTGTGTTGAACGTTGTTTTTCGACATTCAAATTTATACTAGCACCACAAAGAACCAATATAATTTCTAGAAACATTCCGAAATGTGGAAGAGAATTGGTACAGAACAATTTTTTTGTCAGGAACTGAAAGGAACGGTGACGCAAAAATGCCCTTGTTCCGGGTCCCTAATCTTAAAGGGTTAAAAATTTGTTAATATTCCAAAGTATACCATGTAGTGTCTTGCATGATCTTATATGCGATCCAATGAACCCATGGATTTTTTAATTTAAAAAATCAAAAATAAATTTATAGGTTTAATTAATTATTTTCTTTATTATATACATTCAGATGTATCATTTAGTTAGCTATCGGTTGATGGAGCTGGCAATTTTATTCGTTAATATTACAGATTTTATTAGAGTTAGCTGTGCCAAAGCCTCCCGTAATTTATAATAATTGATTTTGTTATATCATGTAACAACAAATTATGAAAATAAAATAGTAAAATATGGTATTGTACCATATAGAGTATATCCATTTACTTTACAAGTTTACCCCGTGTAAAATGGCTATCTTAAATTAAGCTGAGCCTGCAAATGAATTGTTTTAGAAAGTATATGCGCAAGCAGCTTGATGTTATACTTTTTAACTTCGACCTAACATAGCTTCAACTAGTTAAAATGTCCACATATTAGTATAAAATATTAAAGGATAAAGAATAAAATATACCAATCAATTCCTTTTTTATAGTTTTCGCCTGAAAAAAATTGAGTCTCTTCAAAATATTCCGTCATCTTATTCTCTTTTAAATAAGGGTTCATTGATAAAAACCAGAGTAATGCCGTTGTTCCTAATATTAAGCAATATTATTTTTTAAATTATAACTATATATTATACTAATCATTTTGCTGGTTAATAATTAAAAAACGATTTCTATATTTAACCTGTTTTTTGGGGGCCAACGATTACGAATTTAGGAAATCTGTGGCAATCATCAGGACGATTCCATAATTTAAGGGAATTTCGATCCTTACATGGATTCTGAAGTAAATTTAATATGAATCATATTTAAAAAATATTATACTTTTTAAATTTTATATCCTAATAATTGAATAATATTTCAATATATCTTATATATAAGAATTTAAGTTTTTCAATTATTTAATATAATCCAAATTCTTACCTCATGTTTTGGTCGGTAACATTGATTATTTATGTTTTTTTAAATTACATAACTCCTTTTTCAAAATCAGAGTAACTTTTTTCATATATATTGTGCCACATTTTTCAATCTAAAGTAGTAGGAAAAAGGCACTATATTTTTGAAAAATGTTAATATAATTTTTAAGGATATACTATGACTAAAAAGGCTATAATTGATCAAGTTTTATAATGTGATCAAATAACAATAAATCCATTTACAGTTCATTAAGTTTTATTTTATTACACAAAATGGAAGATTAAAAAGCGACATTTTTAGATTTACGCAGAATGATATTCTATAAAGTAAGATTTAGCCCTTTAAATTATAATTAACTGGAAAAATTAGAGAATTTATAAGTGTTATAGAAAAAATTAGGCGGAGAAATGGAAATTAAAGTTGGTGGGCTATAATAGTGTTTATATATCATCTATTGTTAGGCTAAACCGATTTAGAGTTAGCTTAAGTTAGAGTCACATAAATAGAACTGGCATATAGGAGAAGAGTCAAGAAAAGCTGTAGAAATTATGAGATATTATTATGGATAATTAATTAGTAGATACTATATGGTGCTATAAATTGTTTTCTTATAATCCCCATCATATAATATCATATTCATATAAAGTATAATAAGGTTTATTAAATTAACTTTGGCATATTTGAAATTATTTTGAATTAGTTGGTAATATGTATTAATTGATTTGATTAAATTTATTGAAAGCTATGGAGGAGAATAATGTTTATACAAAAACTATGTTAGATGGTAATTATTACAATGTTTTAAATATTTATGGCGAAATTTAAATAATATTGATACAATAAAATATATCGAATTCACGAAACATTATAGTGAGTTAGAGAGAAATTTTCCATAATTCTGAGTCAAATAAAAGCAAAACTTAATTTCGTAATTTTACTGAAATATTAAGTATCTCTCTATAAGGTTTTAAATATTCCTATATTTATAAAGAATCTGTAAACAAATATGTGAAAGTATTAATTTTTTCTTAAATCATTAGATAGTAGGGACCTGAAGCGTTATCTATAAAAATTTGGTTTCGGTTCAGCTAATCAAAATTAAAAAGGGTTTAATTCCATAGGCTCAACTGCTTAAAATTTAAAAAAGTAGGGTTTTAGAAAAACTATAAAAAAAAATTAGTATTATAAATTTTGTTTTTTTGTCAAAACCCAGAGAAACAAATATCATATTTTGACGCATTGTCCTTATGTTTTATAGACGTTGTTCAACAAAATTTGAAAAAAATAAAACAAAATATGTAATTAAAAATTTTAATAAACTCCTAGAGTTAAGAAAATTTCAATATTGTATATAAAAAATGTTTTGGGCATGTTTTTATAGATTGAAAAGGGATATATATATTTATTTATTCTAATAAAGTTTATTGTGTAAATTTTTTTCAAGCTTTAAACAGAAACTAAAAAAAATAAATAATAATTTCCATATATAATACTCAATTAATCAATGCAAATGTCTTTACCGTCCAAATAGGATTTTTTTCTTGCGGATATTCGGTAAAATAAATATTGGCCAAATTTTTTGGATTGTTAGTTTTAAAGATTAAGTTTGTATGTCGTCTCATGGTATCTAAGATTTTTTCAAATACATTAATAGCTAAATGGTCATTCACAAAATTCGGTATATGTGTCATATATACATTTACCTGTTATTATTGTATAATTGTATGTAAAACATAGTAATATATTTACCTTATTATGGAAAAAACTGGAAAATATATAACCATGATTTAAATCAGGAGTAATTGATCTAGATTGCCTTATTAAATCCTTATTCGTAGATTGCAGTGAGTATAAACCAAGGTCTTGCCTCGGGAGAACCTGTGAATGTTAAAATATAAAATTGAATTTATATATAATATATAATTACCGATATTCCGTTGAAAATGAAACCTTTTCTTTGAGATTTAGGATACATATAAGGGTAATTAATAGTGCTGGTGACTGTTATATTAAATATTTTGTTCCAATATTTAAACAAATTATTATATATTGGGTAAATGCCGGAATGTTTCGGAGATACTGCGTAACCGGTGTTGATACTCAAGTTATGTTTCTATTTGGAGAAAAATATAGTATTTGAAGGAATAAATTCGTTACAAATTTAATTTTATAAATTCTATAAAATATGCCGTTCTAGTAAATAATATTATTTATAGATATTTATAAAGAGATCAGAGGAGAAGATTCTTTTTGGAACTTGGTTTTGATTTAAAAATTCCAACAAAAAATTGAACTTTGGTATAAATTTTAAAAAATATTCTAGACAGTAGACACAGATACTTTAGAAAATACTGTATCTTAGTTAGATATAGATATAGATATATTATTAAAATATCGAAAATATTCTTGTATCTTTTGCTTGATTAGATATTCTAAATGCATGATACTCTTGATATAAAGAATTTATATAAAATGCTAAGTTATTAAATCAAAATATTAAATATAAAATTATTTGATCAAAATAGTGTCCTCCCAAAAAATAATAAAATTTTAAATAAATAAAAGAATTAGGATATTTGAGCTAAATTTTATTTTGTGCCATTGCTGGCAGAGATAATATGTTAGTTGCATTATAGGCTCACGAGCGTTCGACTACATAATGTTATAAGATAGTAAGCCAAAAATCGAGCTTTTCGAAATAAATTCTAATTTCGATATTTCGTTTCAAAAATTTATCTTTTGTGAACTAGTTGTATTAATTCCAAATAATTTCTATATTTTAAAGTAATGGATCAATCGGAGAGAACACCATCTACAACCTGCCTCGAATCGTCTTATGATTTCAAGATCCTTTGACCCCATGGATAGTAAAAGGATGCATAACACTTCAAAATGCCATAAATGACCACATATTCGGGATTTTTGTGGGGCACTTTGTCCCCGCTTATTTTGAAACATCACCCTTGCATCTATCTTAAAGAAAAAAGTGTTGTGAATTCATCTTTTTATGAATTTATAATTTTGTGTATTAAAATGATTTAATATTTCTTGACGCGTAATGGATTTAATTAGGCATATAAGCACCTTAGTCATAAAAGAAGAGACCTAGACAAAGTAGATTGGATTTCGTAAATATTTATAAAATTTGCAAATTTTAACAAAAAATATTTCAAGATAACACTAGCTTACTAATTGACATATTTATTTCGAATATATATAATTAATAATTTTTTAAATCGAAATGGGGGGGGGGGATTTCCGCTTAAAATTGTTAAATGATGTTAACCTTTAGTCATTCATTAAACTTGTGATAACTAAAGTTTAAGAAAAAATTAATCAGGACAAAAATTTAAAATCACAGGAAAGGGAAAGAATGAACCCCCTTCACAAGGTCTGTAAGTGGCCTCCTTTCCACTTACATAGTCTTCAAAGCGCTTCACCGGGAGTTATTAATGTTTGAAATCGTCTTTCATCAATTATATATATACATCATTGTGGTTTATATTTTAATTTATCTTAATAATATATATGTCGTATTGGGATTCGGAATCTCTTGATTTTAAATCCTTTACCGAGAGCGATTTAAAATATTTTAAAGTTCGATTTAACCGGAAATGTATTCTAGCATGGCTAGAGTACCCAAACTGTAAATTTTAAACAATTTTGCCACGAACTTGAACTATTTCTAATTTATACTAATTTTTATATGGATTTTTCATATAAATTAAAAAATACTAAAATGTCTATCGCTGAAATTGGCTGAATTTTATAGGGTAAATACTCTACCCATGCTGGAATACAATTCCTGTAAAATCAGATTTTTAAAATCCAAAAATCGCCCTTAGTAAATTATTTAAAATTGAGAGATCCCGAATTCCCACGGATTCCGAAACCCCATACTAGAGGTCTGCATTGGGCGGGTTTTTGGACCAAAAACCCGCCCATCCAATGTTTAAAAAAAATTTAACCCGCCCGCCCCGCCCAATGACATATATATAATACCTAGACTGACGATTCATACATTAAAATGCGTTTTTAAGCGTCGTTAAAAGCAATCAGCTGGACCCGCCATTTTGGTAACACATATAGTATAATTATTCTCATGTTAAAAACTACTATTTAATTGATAACTTGTTGCTTCCTTATTATCTCGATGATCCGGTAATTCTTTAATAAAGTTCGCACCAGATATAGGAATAAATTAGGCTCTCGTTTAAAATTTTGATAAAGATTAGTGTAACCAAGATGACGTCTCCAGCTGATTTGCATTGATGTACACTTTTAATGAATGAATCGTCAGTCTAGGTATTATATATGTCATTGGCCCCGCCTATTTGTCTAAAATTCCTTACCCGCCCGCCCACTTAGATGAGCTGCTTAGGCGGGCGGGCCGAAACCCCGCTCAATGCAGACCTCTACCCCATACGATATATATAATATTGTAAATGAAGGAAACAGTCTAATTTTTTTTTTCTGATTGGTTGCTTTATTTGAATAGTAGCTGATATAATGTTATCAATAATATATAATTTTTTTAAATTAAAATTTGCCAAAATCATCAGGTCATATTTACAAAAAAATATATATAATGATGGTGGTAATACTTTTGCAAATAGTAAATTATTTTCCATAGACCAATTAAGATATGTCGAATTTGCTTTATGGAACTGTTGATGACTAAACGAATGTGGAAACCAATTGAAATGTTTGCTATTATCTATTATGAAAATAATATATTTACATTTAGATATTTTATTTATTACAACCATTTTTTTGTACCTTTTTCATCATTCATTTTCAAAATAACATATAATTATAAAGTATATACGCCCAAACTTACAGGGTCTCTCATTCAAAAAAGGAAAAGTCCCAAGCATAAAAGGAAAAGGTCCAAACAAAAAAGGAAAAGTGTCAATCAAAAAAGGAAAATTCCCAAAAAGAAAGGAAAAAGTCCGATCAAAAAAGGAAAAGTGTCAAATAAAAAAGGAAAAGGTCCAATCAAAAAAGGAAAAGTGTCAATCGAAAAAGGAAAATTTCCAAAAGGAAAGGAAAAGTGTCAATCAAAAAAGGAAAATTCCCATTCAAAAAAGGAAAATCGTAATTTTTTTAAATTTTTTGTCAATTTTTCTAAAATTTTTATTTATTTTTGTTATTCCTTCTTAATTTATATCTAAATTATTGCGATTTCTTTACGTTTTTTTTTCTTACTAATCTTTTCTCAATTTATTTCTAACTTTTTGCGATTTTCTTTACCTTTATTTTTCTTATAATATCTTCTCTCAATTTATTTTTCTTCTCATTTTTGAGAATTCATTTGTATTTTTAAAAATAATTTATAAATTTAGGTCCATTTTTTAAACAATTCTTTACGTTTTTTTTTCATCATACATACAATATCCTTTTTATGATTTTTATTGTAATCTTATACATACATTTCTAACATTTTCAATCTCTTTAAGTCATTTTTAATCAATATTTTTTTGAGCATTTCTCAATTTTTTTCTTCTCATTTTTAATAATTATTTTTTAAAATTATATTTAATGTTTTTGGCAGACAATATAATTACAATTGCTAAATTAAATTAATCGTTTGGTAATAATGTACCTTTTTAAAATTAAATAAGTTTGAACTGTAATACCAAACGATATGTAAATTAATAAAATATAATCATTTTTAAATTCTTATTTTTTAAATTATCAAAAATGAGAAGAAATAAAATTGAGAAATGCTCAAAAAAATAAAGATTAAAAATGACTTAAAGAGATTGAAAAGGATAGAAATGTATGCAAAAGATTACAAAGATAAAATCATAAAAAGAATATTGTATGTATGATGAAAAAAAACGTAAAGAATTGTTAAAAAAATGGACCTAAATTTATAAATTATTTTTAAAAATACAAAAGAATTATCAAAAATGAAGAAGTAAATAAATTGAGAAAAGATATAGTAAGAAAAATAAAAGTAAAAAAAAAGCAAAAAGTTAGAAATAAATTGAGAAAAGATCAGTAAGAAAAAAAACGTAAAGAAATCGCAAAAATTTTGATATAAATTAAGAAGGAATAACAAAAATAAATAAAAATTTAAGAAAAATTGACAAAAAATTAAAAAAATTACGATTTTGCTTTTTTGAATGGGAATTTTCTTTCCTTTTGGGAATTTTCCTTTTTTGATTGGACCTTTTCCTTTTTTGTTTGACACTTTTCCTTTTTTGATCAGACTTTTTCCTTTCTTTTGGGGAATTTTCCTTTTTTGATTGAACCTTTTCCTTTTATGATTGACCCTTTTCCTTTTTTGATCGGACCTTTTCCGTTTATAATTGAAACTTTTCCTTTTTTGATTGGGACTTTTCCTTTTTTGAATGGGAAACTAGGTATAATTATTTTATATGTACAACCTATTAAAGACTTTATTTCACATGAAAGAGTATTTTAATTATTGAAAAATTCACTATGTATATACCCTATTTCAAATTCTTCTTTTTTTATGATTATAAAATATACTAAAACTAAATTTATATTAATATGTTTTAATTTATCATTATATAAAATTAGTCTCACTTAATAGATAGTCGTATCCCAATTGCGAAGATCTTTTTGTGTTTGTATATAGATCCCCCGAATATCCAAGATTGATTGTAAAATCTTTAACACCCCTTTTCCTTATTCTGGTTTGAAAATATATTAATTCCTAATTTTGTTAATAAATATAAATCAAAATTTAATGTATATTTTTAAAATAGGAAAATGGCGATTAGTAATAGTGATGCAAAATCGATCCATTTGAGCTGCTTTTTAAAAACAGAAAAATCTTGCAACTGAAGATTTTACTCATAAATTTAGAAACCTATTAGCAAAATCTTGAAGTGAAGCTTAGGCAATATTTTTCTGACTAAAATATTGAGTTAACCATTTTAAAAAATAAACTCAAATGGGAAATTTTCTATTACTAAGTAGCTACTTATTTTAGGTAAATGAGTTTTATATAAATATTTGCATTTATATATAAGTATACCAATCAAAAGCGATATTTATAATCTAACATAGGCATAGACAGGAATTATTATGTGGGGTTTTTCCTCATAAATTTTATTGGAGGTATTTAGGCCCATTGTAGGCCTTTGCCTGTATTAAATTTTTATTAAAATAATTTTGGAGTTTATTTTTTAATAAAAATGTTTTTAATAAAAATTGCAAATTATAGCCGTTAATTAAAAAAGTTATTAATTTTAACTAATTTTTCTTTTAAATTCTTATTAGTGATATATTGTATATGGGGGAGAGGGCGTCCTGGGTGTGTAGGGGGAATTTTTTATTAGCTTAAAATGATATTTAAGAAAACAGACAATTTTACAGTTGGGAAGAGTATTCCTCCTCCTTCTGGTTACGCGTCTGTGATCTACATATAGATCTTAGTTAGCAGGAATTAGAAAGAGGCATCTAGCAAGATTAATATAAGAAAGTTATCACCTTTGAAGATTATCATATTTTAAGAGACCTTTGTTATAAACACAAAAAAAATGTCTTTTAATATAAAGAAACTTTTATAATTATGACTTTCGCAAATAAATATGAAGCAATTATAATAATGGATTAGCTATTAATTTTATCTGTTACAATTAGTTTATAGTCAATCACCTCTTTTTCGAATTCAAAGGTACAAGTGGAATGTAATCAATTCATATAATAAAATTATTAAATGCTATGGTATAACATAACCTACTTAAAAAATTTATTATTATTATGTGTTCCTTAGTTTTTGGATTCAAATTTAGAAATCTTATAACTCACCATGTTCCTCAATTTAATACTTTAAATTTAAAGCGCCTTTGAATCCGATTATATAAGTGGATTATAGACTGTTATTTGAATAAATTATTAATAAACTCGTATTGAATAGCAAAGATAAATTTTTTTTAAAGGAGGTATTAAAGTAATATAATTGATAAATATTATACAAAAGTCAATTTACTTTAATATCAGATATGGACGGGTTCGTATCATTACCCACAAAAATATCATCAATATCTATCATGAAATATCGATTTTTATTTTTCAATTTATCTAGTTGTAGTTTTTTTGCGTCGTTTAATTTAGAATGCTTTAGGAGTGTCAACAAACAATCATGAAAGAGAATCTGGAAAGGCCAATATTGAAGTCTAGCGCCGAAAACTATTCTCTCTTGATTCAAGATTCGATCCGATAATTTGGTAAAAGATTGCAAATTTTTTAGGTAATATATCAGGGGTAACTTATTCTGGGTTTTAGCCGCTAAATCTTCAGTATATGCTAAAATTTCATTCTCCCAATGATAGGTTATATTTGGAGTCAATGTAAAACTTCTGATAGAATCTGACACAGAAAAAACTTCATCATATATTTTACCAAGCTTTGGCCCGTGTTCATCAACCACTGGTAACTTTAATATGTAAGGGATTTGCGATTCCTTGTTTACATATATGCCTTTAATTTTGGTCGAACGAAAATTTACGATATTTTGAACCTATAGAACATTTATTATATTTTCATATAAAAAATTATAATTAAATCTTAGGCCCCCAGTTTATCTTTTTAACACTGCTTTTAAAATGTCACTTAACCTATGAATAAATCATTTAATTCTTATTATTCAAAATTTATAACTTCTACCGGGCTCAAAAACGTAAAAAAATGAGAGGATATATTAAAAAATTTTAGCTTTACCCAACATCATTTATACACTAAACACTTATGCTCGGTTTATTTTTAATTATAAAGATTAACTAAGGTTACCCATCGTAAATGGTTGAAAATTTTTTTATGGTAATGATTCTAAACATATCTTAATATTATAAAAAAAATATATATACTTAAGAAGATATTTACTTTATTAAATGAATGTACACCCAATTCCTCTGCTTATGAAGAAATTGAAAAGTTTTATCAAAATTTTAAAACAAAATTTCCTAGGCGATCTTCTTTTCCGCTTAAATATAAAGGAACCAGGGGAAAATTCAGTCTTGGATGTATCCATTGTTTAATTTCTTTAAATAGTACCTAATATACTTATGATGGAATATAATTACGCCAAAATAAGAGTAAAAATCAATTTATCACCAAAATCCGAAAATAGCTTTAGAAAAAAACGGCATCTTCATGTTTATATCTATGTCATATTCGGTTATAGAATACACGGGAATTAGGAATCTTTTGATTTTGAATCATTTACTAAGGGCGATTTTTAAATTCTAAAAATCTGATTTGACATGAATTGTATTTCAGCATGTATAAAGTACCCAAACTGTAAATTTCTAACAATCCATGAACTTTAGAACTACTCCTAATTATATTAATTTTTATGTGGATTGTTCATATAAATTAAAAAATACTAAAATGTCCATGGCGGAAATTGACTGAAATTTATAAGGTAAATACTCCATGCTATAGAATACATTTCCGGTTAAATCGGATTTTGATCGTTCTCGGTAAAGAATTTAAAATCGAGAGATTCCTAATCCCCACGAATTCCATATCCCAATACGACATTTATATATTATAACTATAGGTACTAAACTACTTTACATCTGTATATAAAATCTTAGATTAGGTTGAATACAGATGTAGAAGTTATGCTTTTTTTGAAACCATGTTTTGGATAATTCCAAATTTTATAAAAATAATAAATATAAAGCAGTCTAATAACTAAATTTTAAAATATGAAATTAAACGAAAATTTTATATGACCATTTCTTGTTTTCTATTCCCGGTTTTCGGTGGTAATACCAAATTTTAATAAAATAGTATTAGTATTTAAGTTATTGCTTTCTCTTAAGTATTTCCCAATTTGGAATTAAAATGAAATGCAATTTTGTTAAATTCCCGTATTAAGAACTTACATCTCTGGAAGTATGAGGATTTAAGCAATAATTTTTTTTCCTTTGAGATATAATAATATATATATAGCATGTTACCTAGTAAATTATCATTTCAATCTGCAAAGGGCAAACATAATGATCTTTATAGATTTAAAATGATACATTTTATCGATTGGAAATGATACTTTGCAAGTTAAAATATCAAATAATATAATTATATCAAATTTTTTTTAAAAAATAAAAGGGCCCGGATGGAATCTTTGATTGGTTTAAAAATGCAATTCAACATTATATATACATATCTTTTTAAGCTTAAGAAAAATATAAAAAATTTTACCTCTTGAATAGTAGTAATGATGAAGAGGAAAAGTTTGGGGTTAATAAGATTAATGTAGTACCTTAAGTACTCCACATCTTGATTAGTCTGTTTTGTGATAAACTCGTTACCATTTATCGTGTCAAACACACCTTCATGCTGAATTTCGGAGTAATCTATACCATTTATCAAGTTAACGTAGTCCATTAAGTTTTCGAAAATGATGATGTCAAAGCACTCCTTGTTTATGATAACGTTCGTTTTTAAATAATTAGTAAAATAATTGACAAAAAAGTCTTTATCGAGTGTTTTGTTTTTGTCAGGAGTCTGTTGAACTGCAGTGTCAGGATTAAAATTATCAGTGTCCAAAACACGATAAGATAATCTGGCGTAATTTAAAGATCTTTCTAGATCCTTTGTTAATGACGTTAATTTTGGGTCCGACACTATTAACACATTAAACCCGTTAAGTTTGATGCAATAATCATTTATATGTTCTGCATTAGCAAAGTCGAAATTATTTAGAAATTTGTTGCTGAAATTGAAGCGCTTATTATAACTTTGGAATGATAATGTATCAAGAGTTTTTTCTTTAAGAATTTCATTGTAATTTTTTAAATCTATAGGTTTTATACGATATGATATTATAATGAGAAGAACATAATTAATCAAGTGAATATAACAATGTTAATTAAAAATTAACGTGCTATATCTACAACTACTTTCTAAAAAAATTAGCTATGTACTAGTTAGCTACTTCCTCAAAGAAATAGCCCACCTTAGCTATTATATTTTAAATATAATATAGCTATTTTAGTTACTTTAATAATTATGTGTAAAGTTAATTATATTATTAATATATTAATTAAAAAAGTTTTAAAGTAGCCAAATAAGTAGCTATTAATTAGATAGTTATTTTTTTTATAGCGCGCAACTTTTAATAGCTATTTTTCACAACATTTATGTATAAGTATACTAATTATTATTTAAATTTTTGAATCGAGTTAAATTTATAAAATCTATCTTATATAAAAGTTAATTTGATAAATAATTGTATTCATAATAATATTATATAGCACACTTATCAGGACTCATTTTAGAACGATAAATGATTGCTATATATTATTTTATTTTTCAATTTTTTAAATTAAATATTACCTATTTGAAATATTTGTTGTTTGAATTTCAGGGTTTCTATTAAGCAATTAGTCGGATAAAAATAATGAAAATAAAACATCGTCGCCAGAACAAACAAGATGAGCCCACAGAACAAAATCTTGGAGTTGCAAATGTGTTTAGACTTGAACATCATAATTTGATTCAAATATCTTCTTTCAAATAAATGTTGTTTCATAGTCTAAATAAAACAAAATGTTTATATAACTTTTGCTTGGCATAAATATATTTTATATCTAAAATACATAAAATGTTATATTATCTTTACATAAAAATTAATATAAGATTCGAATGGAAGTTCCGGAGCTGTGCGAATGAATAGAATTTTATTTTGTTTCAGATAGTTCTCATTTTATAAATGAGTCAAAGGCTTCTAAAATGGGAAAAATAAATTTTAAAAATAAATAAAGATTTTAAGTAAACAAACCATATATTATTATGCCAAGAATTTTATCAATATCATCTAAAAGTAAAATATAAAAGTTTTTGGATACTATTTACAAAATAAATCTTTTTTCTTGTAAATTTATTTATTCATAAAATTACTAAACTGTGCTGTGCAAATAGAAAATTCTTTTTCTCAAGCCTTTCTTTCTTTTTTTATTTATTTATTTATATATATTATTTATAATTTTCCGTTTTCTTAAAAAAACACGTCATTGATTTTCTTTACTAGGAATGAAAAAAAAAGGCCGGGGAGCTTTAGAGTCCTAAATGGCTAACGTTAATAAAATTTAAATCTCATTTTATTCCACTTATTTACTGTTCTCTACTACACATAAAATAAATTTGATTATACTTTTTAAACAGCATTAATTTTTACGAAAGAATAATTTGAGATAGGATGAGTTACACCCGGGGAAGGATAAGCTTTCCCATGTGGGGCTTCTGAGGGCAAAATATTGATTATTTTTAAATATAAAAATGATGTATATATATCATTGCAACTACTTTATTGATAAAAATACGCAATCATGGAAAAAAATTAAAAAAAAATTAGTGAAATTAATGGAAAATTAAATAAAAATTTAAAATTGCAACGGGATGCCATTGGCGTACGCAGCGGGGGGGAGGGGCAGGGGAACAAATCCCTCCCCCCAAGCCAAAATGCAGATGCCGGACATATTTTTCAAAAATATTATTTTTTATATTTTTATATTTTATTATAATTATTCATATCTATTTCTTCTTAAATTTTTATATTACCTTTTTCATTTACTAATTTACTTTATCAATTAATTTCATTTTCAAGTTTTCCTTGTGGCGTAATATTTATCTATTATTTTAAAATTTCCCAGTATTATAATTTTTCAAATTTCTAGTCATGGATATTAGACTTTTTTTAAAAAACGCTGAAGGTGAAAATCATGCCAAAAAGCAAAAAGTATAGTGTGATAATTTAATGAACAAAAGCTGTGAACTGATGATTTCCTCAAATGAATCAATTCAAAAGGGGGATATTACTCCCATTTCATCAATAATTGATAAAAATAGGGTTAAAATTGCAAAAGAAAATAGAGGCAAGATAAAACTAACTATTGAGGCTATTTTATATTGTGGCTTGCAAGGCCTAGCACTTCGTAGCCACATGGATTCAGGAAGCTTAAATTTTAATAATAATGATAACGAAGGTAATTTCCGTGGACTTTTAAAATTTAAAGCATTAGGAGATCCTGTATTAATGGAGAGCCTCATTAGTACCAATAAAAATGCTACTTATCTCAGCCCTAGGGTATAAAATGAGATAATTGATATTTGCAACAATATCATTTTAGAAAAATTGATTGTTGAAATCAATTCTGCCCCATGCTTCTCAATTTTGGCAGATGAGACCAAGGACATTGCTGGCATTGAGCAGATGTCGTTGTGTGCGCGATATGTAGATACTCATAAAAACATTATCAAGGAAATGTTTCTCCAATTTATTCCTGTTTCAAGCATGACTGGGTCTGCTTTAGCTGATGTAATATTTGTGAATCTTAAAATTAAAAGTAATAATTAATCTTATTATATAATTATTTTAAAAAATATAGCTAAATATAAATATGATATGTGGGCAAGGGTATGATGGAGCACGTGCAATGAGTGGACAATTCAATGGGCTTCAGGCATTTATTTAAAAAAATGCCCAACAGATATATATGTCCACTGTGCTGCCCATTCACTCAACTTAGCAATATCGGATTCATGTTCTTTACCATTGATATCAAATTGCTTAGGTTTTTAATTATTAAATTAAATTTTTTATATATATATCAGGTAAAATATCTAGCATCTATGAGATGTTTAGATACCCCAAGCGTCAAAATATTTTGAACTGAATTATATCTGAAACTCCTTGCCCAACAAGGAGAAAAAAATTGCAAAAAGCTTGTCCAACAAGATGGAGTCTTCGACATCAAGCAGTAACAGCTTTTATCGAGTTAGAAGAGCCGATTATTAATGCTCTTATAGAAATATCACAATGTCTGAAAAAGATATATCTTCAGAAGCAAGCAAGTTACTGGATTCAATACTTATACCAAATTTTTTTTTCGCATTAGAATGTATTAATAAATTATTTATTTATACAACTATTTTATGTAATACTTTTCAAAAACCTGATATTGATTTGATTGAGATGATGAGAATATCAGAGACAATTTTATTAGAACTCAAAGAAATTAGAGCTAATGCTGATGAGGAATTTCATATTTTATATGTTAATGTTGAATCAAAAGCAGAGCTATACGAGTTCAATATTTGTCTCCCTCGACTTACAGTAAGGCAAACTTATCGTCCAAATATTAATATAGGGTCAATAGAAGAATATTATAAAATAAATGTCTTTATACCTCTTTTGGATACATTTATAACCCAAGTAAATGAAAGGTTTTTAATTTATCAAGAAACACATATCATTCTGCAGATATTTCTTCCGCAAAAGCCCTCTGAACCTTTTTCAGATGGTGATAGAAAAAAAATAAAATATTTGGAAGATTTTTATCATGAAGACATTAATGTATCTCATGATGCTTTATTAGCTGAATGCCGGTATAAAAGATTAACTATGGTTGATATAGTCGCAAAAAATGCTATGATGCTTTGCATCATTTCAAACATCTTTTAGATTATTTTCCCAATATATTGAAATTATTATATATATTAGCAACTCTTCCCAGAGAACATTCTCTTCTTTAAGAAGATTAAAAACGTACCTAAGAAGTACAACTTCTGAAAGTAGGTTGAATGGTCTGGCCCTTTTGAATATTCATAGGCATTTGACGCCAAACACGGATGAGATAATTGAAAAATTAGCTCCCTCCCAACGAAGATTGGATTTTACATTATAAAAATATAATGTTTCTATAATATTTTTTGTGCTATCATTTTTTAATGTCTTATATATTTTTCTATTACATAAAATATATAATTATTCATATTTCCAACATTTAGATTTTTTATACTTTATATATAAATTTTAAAAGCTCAAAAAAATTTAAATTTCTATTATGGATTATTTATTTTATAGTCATCATATCCTGGTTATATCCACTTAATATTTTATAATTCAAATTTATTTAAAATATTTATATGCCTACCGGTTATATTCGTTTAATATTTTTTAAATCAAATTTATTTTTATATATCGGTTTATATATTTAATTTTTTATAATTCATATTAATTTAAATTTGTATATTAGAAATAGTTATTAGTCCTAATAAATTTATGCTTGATATTTTTAAATAACAATAATTTTATTTTTAAAAATTTTAATTATCCCCCCCCCCCCCACAACAAATTCCTGCGTACGCTACTGCGGGATGCATATGTTTAAAGAGCAATTATGTGGACAAAGACCCATAAACATTTTAGATGCATTTATTAGATAATTGTATAATATAGTTTCTTGGTTTTACTCTTTCTTGAATATTCGTCTTGATGTAGACAATTTAAAATCTTGTTGTTCCTTTAATCTTTATCTTTTTACTGTTAACTAAGTTTGTTTTTTCATGACGATTAGCATGAATGGTTCTTCATTAAATATAATGATTTCATTTGTTTATTGTTTTTCTCTTCTAATATCAATTAATTTCTTACCATAAAATAGCGCTCAAAAAGCTATTATGAACCTTTGAAAATAGCTCCAGACCCTCAATACCTGTAAAATTTAATTTTATTATAGTTTAAACATTTAATTGGTCAGAAGGTTCAAGCCTATCGACCACCAGAATTAATATAGGTCGTTGTCTCTTGTGTATATCTGAAGATTCTGGACTACAGGAATGGCTAATAGACCGTCTACAACATCTTGGTTTTCCGTTAGCAACATTAGCTCGGAAGAGGAAACATCTATTGTGAAATCTCTGGAGAGTACGCTCTTTGGAGTTTATAACGATTCTGGTGGGCCCCAGGTGGGATCAACAGCTTTCCAGACAATGAACGACATCCCCACTGGTAGCCGTGGAGGACAGAGGATCTACATAGATGCTGATCTCGCCAGTTATCCCTCTAAAAATAGCAATGGGCAGGCTAACTGTCGGGCCGCTGATATCTAACTTTACCGCGTAGTTGCTTCCAGGGGATTTAGGCTCAGACTAGACCATGCAAAGATTCTGAAAAGAAAATATTATTAAGGCATCGCCATGCGCTTGCCAGCAGATAACGTTCAATAATTACCCAATTACTGGTCAAAAACATCATAGAACTGGGAAACACTGACCAATATTGCTCCCTACTTTGCATCATTCCCAAATCGAAAGAATCCACAAAGGTTATCAGCGACTTTTCCGAGACGTCGAATAATTTGCTCAAGTATCCGTTCGCGTTAAATCCATCTCAATGAGGTCCCGAAAACTCAATACCACTATCGCACCATGTTAGAGGTTTCTTCGGACTACGATTTGAGGGACAGACATACAGGTACACAGTGGTCCCAATGGGAGCATCTTTTAGCCCATATTTCCTACAATAGATAATATTGGACGCATGTGCCAAGACAGTCAGAAAGGCCAACTACAATGTTTACCTGGATGACATATTGATATATGCGGACAGTGAGTTCGACGTTAAATGGTCCCCACAAGATCCCTCAGATGTACCCTGGACAGTTGGGGACTGGAACTGGCAATCGAAAAATCAATATTGGACTCAACTCCGCATCACTTACCTGGGTATCTCTATCGATCTACAAACTAAAAAGCTAACGGCTAATAATAATTGCCTTTAAATATTCAGATGCCATTTATACCAACATCTGAATATAAGTTGTTACTAGCAAGGGTAGGTGTCGTTAACCACTTCTCTTACACCATTACTATTATGTCGCGACTCTTTTCGTCATACTACATTACCATGAAAAACTCCGGGCTCACCCCTGTAGTGGATACCTACGTAGCCTTTCAAGGCCCAGATCATCGTGGAAGCCCTACAAGCCCCAATCAGCATACGATATTCGGAAAATCATTGCGTCTGACTCGCATATAGGGATCTCCTTCTGGAGTATTG